GTTTTTTTTGCCATTCATTCTGCAAAGATTTCGGTCAAAGTTGCAAATAGACGACAGGTTGTGTAACAGGATTTGGAGCTGGAAGGACCAGATTACTAAGTGAGTCCTGGGTGTAATCACTTGTGTGCGCAGTGGAGCCAAACTGAAAGTGTGCAGTTAGCAATGTGTAACACTATTATTTGAGGAACATGATGTCACAGTGACAAGAACAAACACCGCCAAGGCCACAGTTTTAAATGCTCTAGAAATCCAAACAGAACAAAAATAGGTACCAAAAGCTCACCCCATAACGTTGCTTTGTCTGATTTCCTCCGGACCAGGCCTGGAATCGCCCACCTGCCTGTCCAACTCCAGCCTTCATGCTGGGCAGGAGAGACCTGCCTCCAGACACGGGGGTCGTGGAGGGGCGATTCAGGCTTTGACACTGGCATTTCCACCAGCATTTTAGCAGAAGTCTTGAGAGGCTGTGGAGAGAAAACCATTGTATTAATCCTGAGAGTTGGAGACCAGCGACGGGGGTGTTTCCTTTTATATCCATGACCTGGACTGTCTTTGATGGCAGCTAGGATTTCAGCGGTCACTCAACCAGGGATGATACGCTAGGTGAGCCGCTGGCAGGGAACAGTCCAGCAGCAGCTGTTGACTGCCACCACTCCTAGACCATACTTTCCAGAGGGGGCGAGTGGAAAGCAAGAGAAAGGAGCCTGGGCATCCACTCTGAGCCCCACTGATCAGCGAGTGTCCAGTGATTTCTAGAACGTCTTTCAACAGAAAAAGATGAGGGAAAATTCCAAATGTAAAAAGTGCAAAATCTTTCATGGCTATTGATGACCTCAGAAACTCTTAGTTGACCTGCAATGAGCACACGTTTTTGGGTTATTTAGATAAAAATAATTTTTGAGGAAAAAGGTTTTAGTGGGCTTTGTTTTTTAAAATTTATTTTTATTTTTTAAAAATATGTCTTTATTCATTTCAGAGAGAGGAAGGGAGAGGGAGAGAGAGAGAAATAGAAACATCAATGATGAGAGAGTCATTGATCGGCTGCCTCCTGCACGCCCCCGATTGGGGATCGAGCCCACAACCCGGGCATATGCCCCGACCGGGAATTGAACCGTGATCTCCTGGATCCTAGGCTGATGCTCAACCGCTGAGCCACACTGGCCGGGCTAGTGGCCTTTAAATATGCCATTGATGCTCATTGCTGGAAACTTGACCACTGACCTGCTGATTTTCTGCTTGTTCTGTAGACCAGCTCAGCATGGCCCATGCATTCTTCTGGAGACTATGAATACATCTATGGATTTTTTAGGGTTACTTGATGTCCTGCATTCCTGAAGCTTGGGCTTGATTTGGTTAGCCTCGGAGAGTCTGGAGGGGTACCGTTCATTCCAGGATCTTAGAAGAGCCAAGTTAATTCTTGTTCCCTGAGCAAATGTTTTAGTGCTGCTTGGAACTGTGTCACCTTGGGAATGTTATTTCACCTTGCTAAGCCTCAGTGTCCTCATCTGTAAAATGAGAACATGAATAGTGCTCATCTGATAGGTTGTCAGGAGGACTTAGGAGATAACATGCCTGGGGGCCTGGCATGGTGTCAGGTACTAATCAGTGCTTAATAAATGTTATAGTTGTTAGTTAATGTCATAATTAGCTCTGGTTAGTTAATACTATAACTGTTATAACTTTTAGCTATTAAAATTGTTAGTTAATATCAATCAATATTATTGTTATAATTATTAGTTAATATTAGTAGATCTGAGTCTATGATGATTATTTTTCAGAAGAATTGTCACAAGCCACATAAATGGAAGAATTTCTGTCTTATCCTAAGGAATGAGAACTGATCATTTCCGTGGTCTCAGTGCTAATGGTTTTGCCTGGTTTCACTCGAGGTGTCTTTGTAGCAGAACCTCAGGGCAGGTGCCAGGACTTAGGCTGTGTGTGGCGTTGGTCTGTAAAACCTTTGCTCCTTACTGCTTTAGCCTGTACACTTCGAATAGGAATTCCTGCCTGTGACCTCGGCAACAAGGGCAGCAAGGCTTCTGATGGGTGACCGAAATAAATGAAAAAAGAAAAAACCAAACCGTCATCTCCTTGTGAGGGTCACACATGTACTCTGGGCATTACAGCTCTGTTTTAACAGTTGATGTTAAAGTGAAGTTACAGGTTTTTATGGTGGGGTTTGGGGGAAGAGACCCTGGGAGCAGGAGAAGTCCTGTGCCTCTCGTGTGACCGTCCTCTCTCCCTGAAGGCCACTGCCACCGCAGGCGGGGGGACAAAGGGAGAGAGGGTAGTCCTCACCGTTTCAATATGCACAGCCCTGGAACCACAATCTTTGGGACAGATCCTCATGGTGGCTCCTGGGTCCTCAGTCCTCCCTCCAGCCTCGAGGAGTGTAAAAACAGTGGGAAACATGGCTCTCGAATTAGATGGATCTGGGTGTAGGCCTTGGGCACTTCATTAACTCACTGGCGCCTCCGCTTTGTCATTTTAAAATGGTGATGGGAGTACTTACCTGGCACACTGATCAAGGCAGGCAAACGGGGAAAGTGTGCTGCCGGGTGTTTGCAGAGCAGGCTCTCGGCTTGTGCACAAATGCTTTCCCATGCATCTTCCTGGGTTCTCACCAGAACCGTGGGAGGCCGTGCGCATCCAGTTTGTGAGCGAGCTGGTTGACCAGCAGAGTCCCCTCAGCACCCTTCAGGGCCAGGACGGCAGCGCAGGTCACGCTCACTCAAGGGCAGCATGCTTTTTACTGCAGTAGAGTGACCTCGGTTGGAAAGGCTCCTAACTGTACCAGATAATAAATAGGCGAGTGACCCCAAGATTACTCCGACCCATTAGTGTGACCGACAGGGACTTCGTGGCTTCAGGACAGAGAGCAACACTTTTGCCTGAGTAAATGTAACAGGCTAGGAGAACAGAGCTCTCTGGGCCAACTCTGAGGTCCCAAAGGCTCCAAATGACACGGGCTCCAAGGACCCCCAGATCCCCTAGAGGGTCTGCACCTTTATGGGCCCACCATTGGCCATGGCACCCTGGAGAGGAAAAGGGGGCGAAAGGTGGAAGGGGAGCATGTCTGGTGAGAACTTTTGGGTGCTGTGCATGCCCCACCCCCTGAAGCCGTGAAGGGAAGGTGTTTTCTGGGACTGATGCTTTGTCCCTGGAGGTCAGCTCAGGAGGACACAAGGAGAAGAGCTTCACTTTCACCAAGGGCCCAGGGAATGGAGACCCATCAAGGGGGGGGCCTCAGGATGGGCATCAGGGTGTGGGCAAAGGCAACCATGCCAGCCAGGTGAGCTCACATGCTCCCTACTCCCCTCTCCCCTCCTTTGGCCTATTCCTAAAACCCTTCTCCAACCCTGGCAGCACTCAAGGTCAAGGGCTCTGATGGTCAGATGCTATGCCTTTGGCCCAGTTTAAGTTACTGGTGTTTGGGAAATACAGAGGGGCACCTTTAATTTCTCTTCTCTTTCTTTGGATGGGGGCTGGGGAGTGGCTGAGAAATAGCATTTATTTATTTATTTAAATCCTCACCTGAGGATATTTTTTTCCATTGCTTTTCAGAGAGAATGGAAGGGAGAGAGAAAGAGAGAAAGATCTATGTGAGAGAGACAAAGATTGGTTGCCTTCCTCAAACACCCTGACTGGGGCCAGGCATGGAACTTGCAACCGAGGTACTTGTCCTTGGCTGGAATTGAACCCAGGACCCTTCAGTCCATGGGACAATGCTCTAACCACTGAGAAAAACCAGCTAGGGTGAGAAATAGCATTTAACACAGTGTCAGGCACCCAACAATCAGTTAACTTCCTGAAGATGCAATTGCTTGTCTTTCGAGAAATGACAGCAAACAGGTCTTCCCATCCATTTCCTCCACCTCTCTGACTTTCTTGCAGAAGAAACATGTCAGGGTGTTGGGAAATGTCTCTCATCTGTTCGAAATCATGGAATAAAGTGAGATCCCTTTTCATCCCACTTCAGTCGTGAGGGATGATTTAGTAGAGATGCCAATAATGTTGGAGAGGTGGCCATGGACCTCGGCCGGGCTGATTCCACTCCCAGCGGGTATTTGAGAAGGAAGGAAGATGGGTTTGGACAGAATAATGGATGCCGTCTTCTGAATATTTAGTGAAAGGTAAACCTTCCTAAAATGAAGACACCTCTACTCTTCAAAACCACGGAGTCATCTCTGAAAATATCTAAAGGAATAAGTAATTTATAAAGTGGCACAAATAATTATGGACAGGCTGGAAGTTTGTAGAGAAAACACGATTAATTAAGGTAATAATTTAGTCCAACAAGCTGTCATCAGGTCTGATGGGACTTTGTAGTATTCACTGCCTCAGGCATGCAGCTGTGGGATATGGAGTTTCCTGGAGCAGGAGCAGCATAGCCAGGGGAGGGCACATGGTGGAGAAAACGCAGGTCCTCTGGTTCTGACAGGGGTGACACTCAGGAACGTGCCAGAGTGCTTACTCCAGAAACTCAAGGAAAAGTCCATCACTCCACACCTTTCTGTATGACTTTTATTTTTATCTTTCGTCCACAATTGCCCCAAACTGAAATAGATATCTGGGCACAAATCTTATTAAGTGTTGTATTTTGGCTAACAGCCACCTTTAATTTATTGATCGAGTGCTTTTATTAGCAATGTCTTTGTTATATTGATGGTACAAATGTTGATTAAAAAGTAAATGTGTGATTACCATTTACATATACGTGTATATGTAATCTATATATAATTCACTTTATGTTAAAAATTAAAAAAGTATTGCCTTGGCTGGGTGCTCAGTTGGTTGGAGCATTGTCCTGTGCACCAAAAGGTTGCAGGTTTGATCCCTAGTAAGGGAGGCGACCATTGATGTTTCTCCCCCTCTCTCTCCCCTCCTTCCTTTCTCTCAGATCAATAAAAAACATATCCTCCGGCGAGGATTTAAAAAATTAAAAAATTATTTAATATTAATGTATCTTATGTTTATAATTAATATAACATATACAATCAAGTCACCACCCAAACCAAATTATACAGAATTTGTTCTTGGTGGTGATTTGATTCCAGGCTTAAGCATCCATACGCGCCTTACTTTCCTTTAATTAAGAAACACTCTACTCAAGTCTTTGATAGAATCATTCACTTTGGCAAAAATGAATAAAATAATTTTTTGGCGTACTCATCTTTGTGAAAGCAGTTGGGCTTGGCCAAACGAGGGTTTGAATCTAGACTCCCTGTTTGGGAGGACATGTCCCTTTCGCAGCACTTCCTTGGAATCCTCAAAACCTAGTCCCTCTGCTGATAAACAAGTTGCGTGAAACAGCGAGGCCTCTCGTGCCCCATAGACCGCTCTTCACGACTTGATTTCGTCATTAGGCAGTATTCAGAGGACTGAAAAAATTAAGATATTGGGTATTTTCAGGTCAAAATTACTTATTTAAAATTTTAATCTTAGTTTTAAAAAATGACCAGATTTTGCCCCTTTATTATCTTTAGCTTGTTCTATATCTAGTTTGTGCACATGGGGTCTTTCCCTTTTTCTCACCCAAATAAACAGCTTGTGAATCTGTTCAGATGAAGAGCTTGGCACAGTCTTGTGCAGAGCGGAGAGTCAGTAAGTGAGTGTTGACCAGTCCTCCAGCTGATCACTCTGGAGGTTTCCCCCAGAGCTTGTTAGAGTCCAGAGTCTGCTGTGACTTGTTTCCCAGTGTTTCTGCAAGAGGTGTCGGGCATTTCTGGGAGTGAGCCTTCAGCCGAGAAGCGACAGTTGCTGTAGTTGCTTCTGGAAGGGAGCTCTGGGCTCTGAAGGTGGCCAGCCGCACGGGGAGCCCGGAGCTGAGCACGGTGGCGCTGGAGCCGGCTCCCTCAGGTGTGGCTCCAGAGCTGGGTGGGGCAGGAAGGGACAGTCCTGGGGCAGCGGGTCCTGTCACTTTGTCACCTCGAGTACGTGCCGGGAGAAACGTCCACCAGCTTCTCCCCTGTCCTTCCCCACCCAACGATCTCCACGCGGGCTCTTTGGTTTCCTGTATGAGTAAAGCTACTTTTGTTCAGTGTGACTCATGTTCTTATTTCCATAACCGTGACCGAGTGCATTTATTTCAGTGGGTATGCTTGGTATTTGAGTTTCATAGTAAATTGACTTTTTCCTTCTTTCTCTTACCCCAATCATCATTTTTCTTCGTAACCAATTCTGATTTACTTTTTGGCATGAAAGCTTAGCAAAGGAAAGAACTTTGAAGATCTCACACAGAAGCTGTGATGAGAACATGCCTCTCCTTATTGGGTTGGTCACACCATGGTTTAAACATTGAGATTAACGTTTCAGACTTTACGTGATCACTCTGTTCATCCTTTATAATGAAGACGTGTGATTTTATCGTTTTCTTTGTTTAAATACTTTGCGAAATTATTTGTGTTGTATAGTATAGTTGCAGAAAGGATTTAATTTATGCAAATATTAGCAAAATATTTTATTTTATTATTATTATTTTTAGCAAAACATTTTAAAAAGAGAGCCTAATGGTTATCTTTCTCTCCTTTTGACCAGATTAGGAAAAAACAGCAAGAAGTAGTGGGCTTTTTGGAAGCTAATAAAATCGACTTTAAGGAATTGGACATAGCTGGAGATGAAGACAACAGGAAATGGATGAGAGACAATGTTCCCGGAGAGAAAAAACCTCAAAATGGGATTCCTTTGCCTCCCCAGATCTTCAACGAAGAGCAGTATTGTGGAGTGAGTTTTTGTTTCTTGGAAAATTCTTCTGCGTGTGTGTTTCTCAGAAATTATTTAAAGCAGATTAATTTCGAGGCAGCATTTGAGGTTGCTCACAGTTTTCAGGTCATGATCTATTTCTACCATCCAATATCTGGATGGTAGGCCCATTGTGAACTAGCAGCATTTAAGATTTACAAAGTGATGGAAACAATAAAACGATGATTCAGAAGTTCTTGGGATTAGGTTCTGTATTTTATTTTGAAGTAATGAGGTCAGTTGTTCAAACAAAGTATGCCTTTAGTGGGAAAGGAATTCTGATCCACCCTGCAGTGGGCACAGAGGCGCACCCACAAAGACAGGGTAAGTTCCCACTTTCATAAACGGTGATTTGCCGAAGTCAGGTCTTATGAAGGGTGCAAGATACGTTTGTGTAAATGTTATCTAAGTAGTTTAAAAACATTCTGGACATTCTGATTACAACAGCAGATTTATTTTATACATTTCGTGGTTCGTTTTGCCATAAAAATCACTTTTTCTTCAGAGTTTACAGATTCTATTTAGTAAATCAAATTGTTGAAAAGAAACATTTAAAAACTCAAAGGACTTCAGAACCTGAGAATTGGAAGTTATCTTAGAGGTCGCCTGAGCCTTCTAGGTCACTTTTCTTTTTCTTTTTAAATTTTTTAAAGTTTAATTTTTAATTTATCTTTATTATTGAAGGTATTACAGATGTCCCCCTTTCCCCCCCATTGACCCCC